ATATGTATACATAGATATATACATAGATGTATAGATACTTAGATACATAGATATATACACACACACACATACACTCACACACACACACACACACATATATATATATTTATATACATATATATATAGAGATAACACACTGCTCTAAAATAACAGACTCTGTAAGACAAGTTTAAGACCAAACCACTATCGTAATCTAACACCACGAATGACACGCGAGCAAGACCTCACGAACGATAATGGCAGCTAATCGCAGAAGAAACGAGATACAGTGCAAAGAGAGTTCCTTACACAGAGTGCTATAAGCGCTTGTTAAAAATGTCGTGACGTCCGCATTCATAAGATTCATCTGATGATGCTTGCATAAGCTGTACAGTACACACATCCATCCACTATCATCTTTCATACGGAACACGTACAGGTATGGTCGGTGATAGTAAATGCCACAACACCACTACAAACCACACACACTCGACACTCCACACCCCCACAGACATACCTCACAGATCTTCGCTGGCCAGCTATCCATTTGCTCGGCTCCTCAGCAGCCCGTGCGTGCCTATACCTATGCCTATGACTTTGTCTGTGGCTGTATCTGTGACTCTGTCGACCATCAACAGCACGCCCCAATGACAGGGGCAGGTCCTTCGTAACTGCATCACCAGGCTTCTCACCCGCCGCGTGCGCATCTGTGTGTGTCGGTAGTTGTTGCCTATACGGTTCACTGCGTGCGATGGTGTACTGCTCTGTGCGTGGTTGTTTGCGCACGTGTGCAGGAGATGCCTGGGGTGGTGTGGCTGTCTGTGCACTGTGTAGGTGTCGCTGGGGGTGTGTGTTAGCTTGTGGGGCCTGCGTGTAGTGCTGTGGTGAGTGTGGCCTGGTGTTTATTTCTCGAGCAGAGGTGTGGTGCGTGTACTGTCCAGTTAAAAAGCCTGGGTGCCCTCTTTCTGCGTCTCTTTCTTTATGTCCCCCATTCAACACCCTATTGTCCGCGTACGTCGCCCTATAAATCGGGTTTGTGGACCGGTGTCCCGAATCCACATCCCGATTCTCCGAGTTGATGAGCATACGACCCATCTCAGCGATCACTCGCTGTGTGTGTGTGTCGTAGTGTGCACGGCCGTCGACATCAGACGGATCGTCTCCATGGTGCTCGTGGTTGTTATGCACACTCTGTAGGTAGTTACGTGGTTGCAAGGGGTTGTGTGTGTGAAGAGATGTGTGTGTGTGTGTGTGTGTGGCTCTGGGGGTGTGCTGGTATGTGCGTGCTTGGCTTTCGCTGCCCATGGCGTGGGCGTGCCGTGTCTGCGGATACCTTCGCGTTGACAGGTCCATTGGTATGTGCATTCTCACAACCTCCGATGCCCAGCCTTGGGGCATCTGCATGCCTTTCCCTATTATGAAATGCCGTAGATGTGCTGTGTGTGTGTGTATACGCCTTATCTTGTGCCGCGACCCCTCTGTCTCTGTTAAGCCTCGCATGCTCGCTGCCACTCTCCACCTCTACCGACTGCCATTGATCTGTCTCCGAGGTCTTCCTTTGACTACTCATAGGGTGCGTCTGTACGCCCACATCGAATAAAATCTCACGTGACGGAATAAGGTCCAGCCCGGGGCGTGTAGGGCTTGGTATGTTTAATTGGCTGGCTACATTGCCCAGCGGCAGACGTGTTTTGCCCCCCAACCCGCGCGCATGGCCAGGGGACTGCTTGCCGTATGTACTGTGTGTCTTTGTGCTGAACCGGGTGTCTCTGCAACGTATTGAGACGATGTGGTTGGTGAGGCGTTGTTCACAAAACAACACAGCAATGGACGTGTGACTGACTGAGTGCATAGAGAGTGTAGGCTATATATACCCTCACAGACACGCGAACACTTATGTATGAGCATGTACAGATCCATGTGTATCTATATGCACATAGGCTGTCAAGAGCGTATGTATTACCATAGGCATATGAAGACACATACCCAGAAGCGCGCTAGCATACACCTAACATACAGATGCAACAACATACAACCTCATAAATACTTGATATATCTAATAAAACAGCTGGGTAGGCCTAATTCCATCACACGCCACATATAAGAACATACATACAACAACATACAACAATATAATACAACTACATATGTACAATAAAATACAACAACATACCACAACATGCATACAACAATATACCACTACATACATAAAACAACATGCAACAACTTACAACAACATACAACAACAACACAACAACATACATACAACTACATATATACAACAACATACATCAACAACACACAGCAACACACATACAACAACATACATACAATAAAATACAACAACATATAACAACAAAACGCAACAACGTACATACAACAACATAAATTCAACACACAACAACATACAATAACATATACACATGTCATATCCTTCAAATGGCAGATAGGTTGTGAGCACATACCCAATACAGCTGGGCAAGTCTGAATCTGTCACACGCCACATATAAACAACATATATGCAACCACATACATACAACGACATACAACTATATACACACATGCCATATCCATCACATCTAATAGCAATCAACATACAACGACATACAACTACATACACACATGTCACATTCATCCAAATGACAATCAGGGTGTAAGTACATACCCAATAGAGCTGGGCAGGCCTGAGTCCATGGTATGCTCTCTCTCTCTACTCGGAGCTATTCGCGTGGGCTCTGACAGATTGGCTATGTATTGATTGGGACAAAAAAACACCAGTGATGCCAATTAGTCATTAGGTTCATCAGCAATTGACGTTGACATGTTCTTACCTTCCAAGGTTTGTACTAGAGCAGAGCTGAGTCTATGTCGCCCTAGTGGTCGAAGTTTAAGAATACACAGCTCGGACGGCATATACAGGTGTGGAAGTGACCACAGTTTCGCATATAATAAAACCGTGCTTAAAGATTCATAATATATATATATATATGTAAGCATGGTCAGCATGGTATAGTCTTTCAATCAGGACAACACAAAGCAAAAAAGCGGTCATGATATACGCATTCACACTATATGAAACTTGAAATAGGTGTATGTAATTCCCGCGAGATATACGAAAATTGAGTATCAAAAAAAAAAATCTGGGTTCGGCCATTTGCCACAACGTATGCAGCTACACAGATGTATTGTCAGGACGATTGAACGTAATACCTCGAAAATATAAACCAAAATTCATTTATGATTGGTGTAGATACGCCTTTACGTACCATGCATGGACACACACACGAATGAGTGTCTATACATATAT